ATGACTCAATCATTTCATTTTTCATTTCATGATATTGATGTATTATTTTATTTTAAGTTCAACAATAAATAAAATGAAATGAAATATTAAATTACATTTCATTTCATTTTTGTAATTTATTCAACAAAATTGAATAAATATCAAATTTAATAAATAAATCATAAAGAATAACAACAATAATACTATGAATAATAATTTCAATTCATAATTCAAATCATTACTCTTTTAAATTATAATCATTAATTTGATTATTCATGTTCATTTGTTATTTTATTACATTCTTATTTCTTTATAATATTGATTTATTTATGTATTTGGTGTACTTGTAGTTTATTATTATTCTTTGTTATCTTATACTGTCTCTATCAATTGAAATATTTTATTATGTTAAAATGTTCTTTATTTATTCTTTATTCTTTTATTTCATTTCTTATTGAAAATAAAATGATAAACATTATAACCAGCAGTATATCATTGATATGAATAAAGGAGAATCAATATTTTTAAATAAATTATCATATTTTTAACTTTATTTATTCTTTTATCTCTCTATTTTATTATTTTTATTACAATACAAACATTTAGTTTCTTGTTTTAGATGTTACATATTAATAATCAAATAGCTTCGACTTTGTTATCATTCTTTTATTTATGATAGTTCGTATTTATGTTAAAAGTTAGAATATTAAAAATTGATTATTGATGACTTTATAAATTATTACATTCATGAAACATCAGATTTATCAAATGTTCATTGTATGTATATTATTAATTTTCTTATTTATGCGTTAATATTATATAAATAATGTAAGTAATTTATAGGATTAAATTAAATAAGTTGAAATATTTCAAGATTAATTAATAAATTATTTTAAAGATTACTAAACAACAATAAAGAAAATATGATGAGATTAAATTATAAATATGATAAGTTTATTTCATCAATCATAATATAAAAAGAAGAATAAGAAAGTAAATAAAGAAATAAAATATAAATAAAAAGAACAAACTTCTTCTTATCGAATAATGAAAATGATAAATGATGATAAACAAGTGATAAAAGTATAATAAAGAAATAAGAAAGTAGAAATGATAAAAATGATAACATCATTTGAAATTACTGAGACAATTATGATAAAAAGAAGAAAGAGAATATGTAAACTAAAACAAATACTAAATATAAAAAGATGAAATAAAAATAAGACAAATAAAATACAACAAGAAGAACAATACAACTAATCCCAAACAAACAATATGACAATGAAAATTAATAATGAAAGAAAGAGATATCAAATAAACAACAACCATAACATCAACTTTGAATGTGAAAATGAATTGAAACTATAAGAATTGAAAAGAAGAAGATAAAAACAATATTCAAAAAGGAAATGAATAAAAGATATAAAAGTAGA